ATTTTAATTCAAAAGAGCATATTCGATTATGTATACTCAGAAAATGGCGAAAATACAAATTAATTTATTCTCCATAAAGTTGTAATGCCCGCCTTACGTGGGACACGGTGTATAGTTTCCTGTATACATTACGATTTTTTGAGCATGTAAATGGGCAACTGGTAACAATTGTGCAATATACCACGATTTTGAAAGGACATATATATTGTTAGAAAACGAAGGGGGTATAAATATTAATTACAATTAAAAATCCAAATATTAGTAAACACCACTATAATCGTATGAATATTGAATACAAAAACACATGTAATGACGTAGCGAGTGGCCAGTAAGTCTGCACAGAGAGATCGACCACGTTGATTGTACTTTTCAGAATGCCCTGTGAAACATCAACATGATGCCGACGAACAAGTATAACAAATTAAAAATTTAAAAAAACCGACTTCAAAAACGTGCAGATACCATCACCACATTTTAACCAAATTTATATGGGACCACCCCTGAGGTACCCCCTTACTTACAAAAAAAGAATCGTATAAATCGGACAAGGTGGTAAAGCATTATCGCTTAACATACATAAAAAATGAAGACTTTGAGGATTTTCTCATGGATCCAATTATTAGATTTTGACCAAATTTATATGGAACCACCCCTAAAGTATCCCCTTTCTAACAAAAAAAGAATTATTGAAATCGGACGCAGTGTTAAAAAATTATCGCTGAACATACATAAAAAATGAAGAGTTTGAGGATTTTCTCATGGACCCAATTATTAGATTTTGACTAAATTTATATGGGACCACCCCTGAAATACCCCCTTTCTAACAAAAAAAGAATCATTGAAATCGGACACCGTGTTAAAGAATAATCGCTGAACATACATAAAAAAAAAAAAAAAAAAAATATCGCGACGAATTGATAACCTCCTCCTTTTTTAAAGTCGGTTAAAAAGGTCGGGGTATTTACGCATCGTCATCAACACGTGCTTATCTCCCTGACCAGAGGCGACTCTATGTAAAATTGCTAACAATATTTATGAATTGAATTTTTTTTATTAAATCGAAGTTACGTGTGTAACTTAACTGCAGACAAGTGTTTATGTTCTTTATAATTTGTTCCCAGTTGGTTTTAATCATTGTATTAACGTTTGAAGCCACCCACATGCCCAAAATTTTTGTTTCTGTCTTAAATGGAAATTTTCCTAATTTTTCTGGGAAGGATTTTGCTAATTTTCCTAATGGAACAATAAATGATTTCTGAAAGTTAACTGCTGCGTTAGAGGCTCCACAATAGATTTTAAGCAGTTTATCTACAATGTCGATATCTTTTTGTTTTTCAAAGTATATAGTTATGTCATCTGCATAGGCAGATATTTTAATTGTGCGGTTCGAAATTTTTAACCCTGGTAATGAAAAGTCACATATTTTTAAAAATGGTTCCATAGAGATGCTGAAAAGAATCATTGATAGTGGGCATCCTTGTCGTACCGAGCTACGAATATCGTTTTTTTTTGACAAAAAAACGTTTATCATAAGAGACGAATTTGCTACACTATATATATTTTTTAAGAAATTAACAATTTTATTATCAAATTGCATTGCTTGCATTACTTGCCATAGGTAAGAATGGTTGACTCTGTCAAATGCCTGATTAAAGTCGAGATTTAGGATGCCTCCTAAAGACTTTTTTTCATTGTCGAAATCCAATATAGTGTCCCTAATTAAAAGGAGATTGTTGAAGATTGATTTAGTTGTACCACAGCTTTGTTGATCACCTAAAACTTTTGATATAACCATTTGAAATCTATTTGCTAAAATTTTCATTAGTATTTTATAATCGGTGTTTAATAATATAATGGGTCTCCAATGATTCATAATAATTGGGTTTTTTATTTTTGGAATTAAAGTGATTATTGCTTCTGTAAATTCTTTATTAGGAGTTGTTGTATTTGTAAAGATATCGTTAAGAAGTTTGGTCAATTCGTCTCCAATGAAAAACGATGTAAAACTCGTAGCATATACCATTTAAGCCAGGAGTTTTTTCTTTGATACTTCATCTAATACATTTCTTATTTCTTCTTTTTTAATTGAATTTAATATTATTTTATTATCTACATTTTTTTGTATATGTGCTACCATACATCGAACATCAGAATCTTTGATTGCTCTTATTTTAAATTTATCAATAAAATGATTCGTTGTATATTGAAGTATGTCTTTAGATGTTGTTAATGTTATTTGGTCTTCAGTTTGAAGTTTTGATATTATTGAAACTTTATTTTTTCTTTCTTTCATTAAATCAAAAAGTGAATATTTTTCATTAAATTGATCTTTATTTTTATTTAAGAATTTTTTTTCTAGATGTTTTTGTTTTAATTCAACAATAATATTTTTAATTTCCAGTATTGCTTGATAAACTTGTTCACCTTGTTTTTGTTTTTCGTTTAGTTCTATTAGAGACCCTTGATAAAATTCAAACATCTTTTTCTCATCTATTGCATCTTATATTTCTATATTCTTAAAAAAAGATTTTACTCTCTTTTTAAAAATATAGAACCACCATTTAATGAAATCTGTATTGTACCAATAGTTTGTTTTTAATTTAATTATTTCATTTTTGAATCTATTGTGTTTTCTTCTATTAGAGTTGCTTTTTTTATTTTCCAATATCCCCACCCATGATATAACGGTTTTAAATTATCTAATTTTTCTAAATAAAGAATATATGCCGAATGATCGGAAAAAGCAACAGGTTTAATTTCGGCTTTTTTTATTAACTTTTGGTGCTCTTTAGATATATAGGCTCTATCAATGCGAGTGGCACAATTGCCTCTGATAAATGTGTATTCAATTTTATTTTTATAAAGAAAATCCCAAGTATCTATAAGATTTGAATTTTGTATAAGCTGTAAAAGCATTCCGCAAATTGAGGCATTATTTCTAGAGTCTTTTTGTTGAATAACACAGTTGAAGTCGCCTAATAGAATTGTAGGATAATTAAAATTAAAATGTACGAGTATTTCATTTTGAAAAAAATCATTTCTTGTCTTATAATTTTGTCCACCTGATGGAGCATAAACATGTAACGAATGTTATTAATATTTACTGAAATAATGTGACCATCAAGTGAACAAATAATATCTTTAACTTCATACCCATTTCTATAAATAACACCTGTCCCTCTATTTGCGTTGCCTACATTTGGAATCATTATATCCATAGGAAAATTTTAAAAAGTCGATGTTTAATTCTTGTACAAAAATGATATCAATATCATGCTTTCGAATAAAATCAAAAAAGAGACCTTGTTTTGTCGGATTTTTAAGCAAGCTACAATTTACCGTTAAAACTGTATATAATTTTGTGACTTATCTTAAAAGATAAAATAAAAAAAATATATATTTATCTATGTATACCTAAAAGAATAAATCAGAGTCGCTCATTTGGGTATCGGTTTCATTATTTTCCTTTATGTTATCTTCACTTTCATCAATTATTTGACTACTTCGCCCGAGCTTTCACTAGACTTTTCTTTCTTTTTTCTCTTTTTCTCAGTTGTTTTCTGGAGTCGCTGAAATAATATCGATTTGGGATGTAAGATCGGCAGCCTCTTTTTCACTTGCCAAGGTTGAATATTGTGGAGGATTGTGAATAATTATGTTTGGAAGTGCACTATGATCTTCTGTTGTTTTAATATCTGCGATAGGTGTTGCAAGGGTGTTTTCAAAAAACATTTGGTTTTCTGAGTCAGAATTAGCATCATCATGATGCGTAATTTCATTTGTTATAAACTTTGAGATTTTGTCCATATCTGCGTGACTGATGTTTGTATCTTTGTGGGATATAGCCATGTGGGCATTTACCTCTTCTAATATCGTAGCATCTGGTACCGCAGCATCTGGCAGCGCGGCATCTGGTATCGCGGCGTCTGGTCTTCTAATTGCAATTATTCTGTTATTTGGTTTGTCGGGCAATCCCTTCTTTCATGTCCAGGATTATCACAAAACATGCATGTACGTTCTTGATTTTTATACGTGACCAACGAAGTGGTCCCCTCGATTGTAAAGTAAGATGGTATCTTTTTTTTTTTTCATTGAAATTAACATTGATCTCGCACCACTTTCCACATTATATAAATCATCACCCGACCAAGTTTCATTTCGAATGGCTTTTACAATTCCATATTTACCAAAATGTTCGATTATCTTAGAGTTCTTTAGTTCCGGAGGAAAATCGTAAATTCTTATCCATATATCATCTGATTCTTCGCTTATATAAATTTCATAATCTTGTTCTTCATCTGTATAAATTAATTTCCCAGGTTCAAATAAAATAATAAAAACTTTTGAACGAATGTGATCAAACTGTATACATACCAATTGATCATTGGTGAAATTAAATACTTGTTTAAACCAACGGTGAATACTAATATTAGGAGGTTTTTCCTAACATTTTTGAAGTCTAAAACCATTGTATTTTCTCGTTTAATAGCCATGGCACGCCACTATTTTTATTCGTTAACAGTTCACACACCTTTACTCTTTGAAGTCTGAGCTACGACTGAAAATGAAAATGTTTTATTGTAATTTGTTAGACTTCAATTATAATATAGAACCGTACAAAATGTACAAACAAAACTGATAGTTCCCTAGTGCTTGTTGACAGTTGTAAGAAAATTTTGGCGCTGCTATTTAAAACAGACGAATCACAACAGACACCAAGGAAAAAGAGAAAGTAATTGTAAAAACGGTTCATACTGGCTTCAAACAGATCCAGGCCGTTAGTTATCTATTATTTATTCGTTTATCTTAACATAGAATCGACTTTAATTTCCACTTTTACGTTTTAGCAAACGGTTTCGAGTTTGCTCGTTCACCGTCGCCGATTCGTAATCATACGAAAAATGACGGCGAACGAGCCCAATTTTATATAATGAAAGATTTGTGTTAAATTTTTATTTGTTTTTCATATAAATGATTTCTATATACAAATTCCCTTTTAGACGTTGTGGACCAAGGTTAAATCAAGATGCCGGCGAAAAATTAAAAAGGCGTTATGTAATGATGCGATCTGGAGCCAATCAACACGAAATGGAAGTTGATAAGAAGAGTTCGATTCCAATAACAGTCCGTCAACTTGAAGCCGTTATTCGTATTTCCGAAAGTTTGGCAAAGATGCAGTTGCAACCTTTTGCAACGGAAACTCATGTTGATGAGGCGCTGAGGCTTTTCCAGGTATCTACTTTGGATGCAGCTAGGACTGGGACTCTTGCAGGTAAGAAGAAAAAAAACCATTAAAAACTGGGTTTTTCAGTTTTTGATTATATTTAACATTAACACATCGAAAAATGGTTGTTCACAAATTGTTTGACTCCAATAAAAATTGTGCGATATTAAATAATTGCAGGGTTGTTAGAGCTCGATTTTCTAGCTATGCCACACTCAAAATAGCTAAATAAATGCAACAAGTACAAATAAGTAACCCTACGCTACTGAATTCAACTTGTATGAGCGGTGATGAGTGGCAGGCAGCTTTGATCACGTTTAAATCTGTTTGACCACGCCTACAAACTCAAATTGGTTTCTGCATATTATGACGAAGTATCCTCTTCACAAAAAAATCGAGCTCTACTTCCAAAATAGCTTCAACTTTACTTATTATATATATATATATATTTTTTTTTCAATTATCGGGTTTTGCTTTGACCGTTGACATAATTACAGAATTATAATATTGAAATTAAACCGCCTTCTTTATTGACTTGTTTTTTGGTAGTTAAGAATACCCTTAACATAAATAATTTCTAGACCGCCCCTGTAACATTCACTTAAGTAAGCTATGTTGGCAAACTCAATATAGTGAAATTAACTAGCGTGCTGTCCAATATAGATGCACAAATTTGAAATCAATAGTAATGATTGGACAAAGAAAAGTTGTTGGTAATATGTATGCTCGAAAAATAATTGCGCGAGCCTCAACGGTTTTTAAAAGCGCGGTACCTAACCAGATTCGTCTCACCATTCGTACCATACACATCAACAGGGGTATTAATCCCACGCTAACAATGGCGACAAATTATAAATATTCTGAGTAAGAAGCTTATGTGTATATAGTGTAAACGCAAATCAGATTATGTAGTGTAGTGTTCTCTTTACAAAATAAACAGTGTTAAAGGCAGATGTGCTTATTTTCTTCTTTCGATAGTTTAGCCCAAAGCCGGCAGCTTCTTAAAAACATGGATTACAGTCCGCTTCTGAAATATAGCCTAGTGGAGTCTACATAAGATAAAATCCTTCACAGGCTTCATAACAGATGCTGTTGATTGTTTTCCAAATTTTCCTCTATTTTTTTACTGATTATAAAATTTAAATACCCTGCATCTTTAAAACAAAGCATCTGTGGACTCATATCAGAAAAGGTCCATAGCCTACTTGAAAACATTTAAAAATAAATGTTTTGAATAATAAAGTCTATTAAAACATGTTACGGTATAAAACCACTATTACAGAAATGAAGGCTTGCGTCGGCACGTTTGATGTCGGGGTGGCCAAAATTTAAAGTGACACTCGCTGACAGTTGACGTTCTTGCCGGTTGTTACACTGGTAAAAATTACCAAGATTCTTATAAATTCGGATAATACACTGAGAAAAGGATTTAAATATATGTAACAAACTTATTTAGCAACATCCACTATTTCTTCTCTGAATTGAAGGTTAGTGATATAATTAGAAAAAATAAGGCTTCACGATAATTTATTTTGAAGTAAATTGTACTGATCGCTATATTAAAAAAGAGTTTTTACTTGAGGAACCAGACCGAATGCTCGTTGTACTTAATTCATCAGTTTTTTTTAGATAACATTAACTCTTTAACAGAAGGATTCTATTACAAATTATTGATGTATTAATTAATTGTATACTTTCCTGAAAAACACCTTCAACTGTGATAGTTGGATCTAGAAAAATAGATTAAACTAATAATAACTGGCATTAAAAATGCAAATACTTCCGAACTGTCATTTTGAAAGCCTTTTATGTGTTTTAGAACCTTATCATATGTCAATAATACCATAAACAATCCTTGTATTAAGACTTTCGCCATACTCTTATAATAATTTGACAACTCGGTGGATAAATCTGTGATTTTTACAATTCCATTTTTGTAAACAAAATTAATCTAGTAGTCGTTGGTAGAAAAGCATCACCAATAATTGGCGTATCGATTTATTACACTGTTTTACACTAGCACTAGCTCAAATGGCTTTTCTTTCGAGTCTTTTGTGCAGAGTTGTCCAGTAATTGCAGCACTTCATTAACGTGGGAGTGGAGTCGACCCTCATGTTTTGCAGTAACCTCTTTTTCTTATTTGTCTGTATGAAGATAATCGTTTAAATAGAGCCAGGGTGCATCAATGATACATCTTAGGACTTTATTTTGGAAAATTTATATTATGGCACATCCTCGTAGCTGTATTTCATAAATCCAGACGACTTAGGATTTGTTTATAAATCATATGAATTTGTTGTATACATAAATTTGCATTTTTAGATGCATAATTATTAGAACTATGAATTAAATTGAGATTTGAAGAAAAGTACTGTAGGAAAAAGGTTGTTATAAATAAAACACGTACCCATACTGACTATTAATTTTAATAAACCAAAATACGAAAAACACATATTACAAAAATCAGATTAATAAAAATATCAATATGAAAAATACCTACACATCAAAAGGCACAAAATTTTAGACAAAGGAATATGCCCTAGGTCCTAAAAAATACAAGGTAAGCACAAACTGCTTGTATTCATTGGAATGTCTTCTAGCTAGAGGCTTTTTGTTTTTAAATTCCGCTTGAGATTTAACTAATCTGCAAATGGTTGGTTTAAAAATTGTGGCCCAACCGAAGGATATTTTTGGGACTGGCACATGCATTATCAAAATAGAAACAACAATATCTCTTCAATCTTCAAAGTTAGTTATTCTTTTGCTGGGACCTAAAAAAAAATATTTAAATTAAAAAAATACATAAAAACAACACTTTTATATTATTTTTAATACCTGGTGTACTGAGAAAATCGTCCTGGGATTTAGTAGGGTACAGATTCATTCAGAATGATCAATTATTTCATTTGTTGTGGGTGTGTGTCAGAATATTGTCAAACATACATTTTCAAATAAACATTTCCGAGTTGATCCAAATGAAAAACTACTGGGCTGGAAATGTTTTTTACACAACTGGTAGCTTTTGTGTAATTATTCACTGGTTATATTAATCAAGTCTTCTCGACTACAGGCTCTTAACAACATGGGAAACCTAAAAAAATACAAAATACATTGTCATAGGTAGATAAATATAATTTGATTTAAAAATGATAATAAAATAATTGTTTTGATTAAATAGCCAAATAAATAACATACAGTTAACATTGCTGCATTTGAAAAGTACCTCGTTTTACTCATTTTACTCGAAGCCGTTCTCGATGGGTTCTGCTCCATGGTCATTTAAATTGCATAATTTATTTTGCATACCTTTCTGAAACTTTGGGAAATGAAAAATAACTAGTATACGAATCCGTTCGAGGTAGACATGGGCGATAAACACATCTCTTTCTTTTAGATTCCATCAGTTCACTAAAAAATTATTTTGCTTTAATAAAATAAATAAAAATATGTAAATAGCTCAGAACATACCACAAAAAGTCTTCCATTAAAAACATGTTTACTGAACAATGTTCATAAAATAGACAAAGGAAAGCACTAAACACAGATTTACTCAATAATTGTTAAAAAATATACAAAGGAAAACACTAAAATACACTTAAATTCGATAAAAAAAAAATCATAAATTATAAATGACTGATCCTGACACATCAAAACAACACTCGTGACATGACAGTTTTGCCGGTTATAAAATGGCGGCCCTGATCATGCGCAAAAAATTTTGGACCCCAAAAATTGACGTGCCTTCGCTTCTGTAAAAGTATTCTGTGATAAAACGGCGTATCTCCTTTAATAACAGAGGTAATGAAGTAAACTAAAAAAGGAAATGTTGGCGAAAGATGGACCTACCGTCTAATGTCAACTGCTATATGTTTTGTTTGCTAGAATACTCCACAGGGTGAATTTTCGGAAAAAACATTACATTTTTATTTCATCCTATGTAAATCGAAAAGGAACTTTATGTCATAAACAGTGAAAATTATGACATTGTCAAGGAACCAACCTATAATGCAAAAAAAAATCATTCAAATCGGATTATAAATTCAAAAAAAAAAATAGCATCAATAATGTGGCAAATTTATGATGTTGCGTTAATTTTGTCCAGCAGTTTATTTTATATCGTCTTTTAAAAAAAAACACCATAAGTTTTTAAAATCCTCAGTGCTATATCAGTCTAACACTGTTTAATAGTACCTCTAGCATTTATAGATAGGAACAACCTACAAAATAAACAACTATTCATATAAAATTGTACTATCTTTTCACCTCTGAGTAAAGTTACATGTAAGTTTACTTGATAGATTAACAAACAATAGCCCTATAGTTTAATCAGCAAGTAGTTGCTTTCAATTTTACTCATTGGTAAAAAGACTGGTCCTTAAGAAAATATATAATTAAATTGTCAACTTTTTTGAAACTTCGTTTGTCTCTTGTTAGAAACAAAATACATTGCTCAATACATAGTTGGGTATAAAACACATGACTATTCTGTACACCCTGGAACAAAAAACAAAATAATTACAACCGCAATTTGAAAATAAACAAATATAACCTCAGAAATAATAGTAATTTTTTACCTTGAGACGTTTTTCGGTACTTCCGATTTATTAAAGTCGCAGTTTTATTTAAACTTAATTTTTAATAAATACAATACACAATTAAAATTGTTGTGTTGATTTTTAGAATTTGATAGCTTGATTGAAAACGTTGAGAATATAGAAAAAAATATGATGTAGGTAAAGACGATATAAACACCTTTTTGTGATATAACAAGTGGCGGCACTTTGATTAATTTTAAGTTAATAATTTTGTATTTGAAGATTGGCGTAATGAAAATGTTTATATATCATTTAAATTACGCTATTTTAAAAAAATGGAATTTATTATCACCAAAACTGACTAGCTCGGGTTTGACATGTCGTAAAAGGGTAATGCAAAAGTGCAGACACTTTTAGTAACGTCATTGCATCTCTATATCTATGATTTGAAAGATTCGTATGCGCCACCCTACTGTGTGCGTTGCGCAAAATAAAGGGATTTAAGTGATTTTAAACAGGTCCATTGTTCGTTTCACGGATCTGTTAACTAGTTGCATCTCTTTTTAGCTAGAGGTTTTCGCGAAAGAAACTCAATTAGCCAAAGCGCAGTGGCGTACCAAATTTAGAGGTTAACACGTATGAAAACAAAATTATTAAAATTGAATTTATATTTTTATTTTATTTATTTCAATATAATGTGTTTATATGAAATGTAACTGGATGTTGACTGCACAAATGAACCAATGGAGAAATCGCTCCTGGGTATAACTCTTCTCTCTACTAACCCGATGGTTTGATGGGAAATAAATTGAACAAGAAAACTTTTTGCCTAAGGAACAACCCTTAATTATTTATTGCGTAATTTCTGTTGGAATCAAATGCGGAAAAAAGTTACTTGTTGACTGGATTATTGTTACTAACCAACGATCAATATTTTTAGGCGCTGAAGGATTCACATCAGAAGAAGAACATGAAATGTTGGTTCGTATAGAGAAACAGCTCAAAAGACGTTTCGCCATTGGCACCCAAGTATCGCAACAGAATATTATACAAGATTTTATACATCAACAATATCCAGAAAGAGCAATAGTTAAAGTTATACAAACTATGATCAGACGAGGACAGCTACAGCACAGAATGCAAAGAAAAATGTTATACCGGATAAGTTAAAAATGTTCGTATGTATTAAGTCTGCACACTTTCAGTTTCAATTTAATTTATTTCTACAATTTTTTTTTCCTATACTATTTTGTTTGTTGTAAAGAAATTGACAATAATCTCAATTAGCCGTTAATTAAAAAGATATAATTTTATGAAAAAAAAAATATTTATAGAAACAACAATACACATTATTCTGAATCGCAAGTTGAATTTAATCATGTTATTACATAAAACAAATTAAATATACATAAAGTATTGTACTGTATTTTTATATTTTGTAATTTTAGAACTAATTATAGTAAGTAATTTCTTCATACAAACTTTTTAATTTTAGCATTTGTAATTTTACATAACTCTTCTAAATAAATTCGTTTAATTACCTTTTAACAATTTTCATATGTTTAAAGTTTTTTATTATGACCTGTAAGCAGCTTTTGAAATAAATATTGTTTTTTAAAGCTCAAAATGTAAGCACCATTTTTTTTATCTTATAGTTACTCTGCCGTGAAAATATAAAGGGCAGAGACACTTTTAAAACATAGGTTTTTGCATAAAAGCTATTAGCCTTTTTCCTGGGAAGATTTAAAAAAGATCCACTAGAGGCAGCACCGGTGGGGGATACATATGTTTCGAATTCTCTATCGACAACAACGTCAAACGTACGTTTTATTATTATTAGAATAAATAAATATTGTGATAAATAAAATTGTCATGTCTACAAAACATTGTGCGTTTGCAAATTGTACGTCTGACAATAATTACAAGCAAGATGGTGTAAAATTTGTGCCTTTTATAAAACCACAAGTTGACAAAAAAAAGTGTTTGAAGTGGATACATTTATCACGAAGGGCAGATTTAACAGCTGAAAAAACAAAAAAACATACTTTTTCTACGCCTATGGAATAATATGTCAATTATTAACGCTTTTTCTTTAAATAATAGTAGTCATTATTTTTATCTGTTGGCTTATGAATCATAAGCCAACGGTATTTGACCAATCACAGGCCACGAATTTTCATAAGCCAACAGTTTTATTAGTTGCCCATGACAACGGAAAAGGCACCACAGTATTATTCCTGTACAACACTGCTTCTCAGTTGTCATTTGTAATTTTGTCACGCTTGACCAGCGCTTGACACTTCTGTCTCCGAAAGCTGAAAAAGTGTAAAAGTTTGTCTCAAAAACCTATAAATTGTCTAATCAAAACACAAATGGATGAAATGGACGATATTAACAGCGACGAAGAAAATTATACCCCACCGGATATCGTAGAAGCAGCGAAAATAACATCGGTAGACTTGCTACCTAAAAAATCGCGAAATCTTTACGAAAAAGCGTATAAAGCTTTTATGGATTGGCGAGACCGCAAAAAAACTACCTCGTTTTCCGAAAACGTGTTACTAGCCTACTTTGGAGAGTTAGCAGAAAAATACAAATCTTCGTCCCTCTGGACTCAATATTCGATGTTGCGAACGACACTAGAGGTACGACAAAACATAAATATAGCAACTTACGGAAAGTTAAAAACTTTTCTTAAACGCAAATCTGATGGCTATAAGGCGAAAAAGTCCAAAACATTTACTCCAGATGAAATAAATATGTTCATTAAAAATGCAGATGATAAAAAATATCTTGCAACAAAGGTAGGAATTAATAAATAAACATAATTATAACAATTTTAGAGACTGTCTATTTGTCCGAGCGCTCGGATATGAATAGTAGATTGCGCTTAATATCCGGGCATTGAGTCATCATTCGTTTTTCTTAATCCTGTAACACAAGTAGATAAGTATCGTGTGGCGTGGTCCAGTGGACTGGGCATCGAGCTGTAGATCGATAGGTCCTAGGTTCAATTCCGGGCCTTGGCAGTTTTTTTTTTATTTTATTTTTTCTTTTTATGTTCTTTTAAGTATTTATATTTTTTGTTCGAGAATATTGTTCCACAGGTTAGTTCAAGTTCCACCCAAAAAAGTTGGTTTCGTTTAAAAAAAAAAAGATTAAAAATTCTACCAATGGTAAAATTTATGTTGGAGTATATTGATCCACCGGTTAGTTTTGAAATTTAAAGTTCTGTCTGATTTTACTAAAGAAAAATAATAAAATAAAAACGGTTGAAAGTAGATATTTCAATTATTTTTTACGCCCGGATATATAGCTCAATCTATTATTTGTCCGAGCGCCCGGACGAATAGACAGTCCCATAATTTTAAACATTGAAGTTGTTAATCCATTTTACTAATTTTGCCATTGATTTTTGTTTCAGGTAGCATTAATTCTTGGTGTAATGGGTGCCTGTCGTTGTCACGAATTAAGAAATATGAATATTGAGCATATTGAAGTTTTTAATACATCCATGCTAATTACTGTGCCCAACACAAAAACAAAAGTCGTTAGAAAGTTCACCGTAACAGGAAAATTTTTATGAAATGATTAAAAAATATATTGATTTGCGTCCCCCCACAGTTGCCTCGCCGTCTCTTTTTTTGAATTATCAAAATGGGAAATGCTCTGTCCAAAATATAGGAATTAACACATTCTCGGCAATGGGAAAACAAATTGCCAATTATTTAAATCTGCCCAACTCCGAAATGTATACAGGACACAGTTTCAGGAGATCGTCTGCCACAATACTAGTAGATGCAGGAGCCAACATGACTGCATTAAAAAGACATGGGGGGTGGAAGTCCGCAACGGTGGCGGAGGGATACATCAACGACTCCTTAAATAATAAAATGACAACTGCCCAAAAAATACTTCACTCAATACAAAGCAAATCCACTATTACCACCACCGAGACTATAACCAAGGACAATGAAAATCAAAAAATGGATGTGGCCACCGCATCACTTACTATTCAGGACTGCCAGAATTTCACAATAAATATTCACCAACATAATCCGTTAATTGATAAATAATCATTTTATTATCCATGTTATTAAAAGTTAATATGAATGAATGTAAAATGGTTTATTTGAGTAAATTTAATTTAATCTGCATTTTAATTATTTCATAGGCGTAGAAAAAGTATAGTATTATACTATTAATTTATACAAGACATTTTAATAATTCAAATGGACCAACAATAGAAAACCCAAATCCATTGCCAGCGACAGTTTCAAAGGTTAGTAATTGTTTATTTAAAGAGGTTATATTTTACATCAGTCTACATATTATTATCATTATTGATAGTAAATAATGAACTTAAACTTCTTTTTAATTGTGTATGAAATATAAAAGACAGCAACGATGTATTGAAGAGGACTCAAGCACTGGAAAAAATAAAACATCAAAAACTTATCTGTTCTACTGTTACTGATGTTGAATCACTACAAATTAGTAACAAAAATGTTAATAGTAATCAAGAATCCCAATTAAATAATGATTTAGCCTCTGATCTTGCACTTTTGTAACTTTCAATTTCGCTCATTTTCCGTTCATTTCCATTATAAATCTATACGTTTGACATTGTTGTTAATAGAAAATTCAAAACATGTACCCCCCACCGGTGCTGCCCCTAGCGTATCTTTTTTAAATATTCCCAGGAAAAAGGTTAATTAGCAGTGAGTGCTACATTTTTGTATTGTGTATAGTTAAACTAGCCTACTTTAAAATGCTAGAAAATACCCAAGGAAAGTACAGTTCATCAAATTTCTAGAGGTGTTCGACGCCCAGACAGAGAACGCGCTACGTGTGACTAAGATAGCTATTGTACAGTCTGCTAAACAAGTTATTTTAAATAGTTTTTAATATTTTTAGGTAATTAAATTTTAAAAGTGTGGAATAGTTTAGGGATTAAATTGGTCTGATTGGACTTTCTTAGAACGTTTTTAAAAGCAGCTAAAGATAGTATGTAGAATTGAAAATAATTATTATGCCATAAAAGGTGTTTTGGAATTCCTTCAACCTTTTGAAATTGAGTCAGAAAATATAAATTTTATAGGATAGCGGAAAATACCTATAATTTTTTTGTAGGCCTTTGTAAATCGTGGAAATAGTTTATATTTTATTTCTACCTTATTAAGGAAAATGGTACCTATTATTAATAACGGTTGTTTCTGAAACATTACTAAAATTTTCGAAATTTTGTTTTTCTACAAAATAATAAACTATACTATTTAGAAAAAAATTTATTTCTCTTATAATTTTATAAAAAATAACAGGGGAATATTTACATTTCTTCATCTATTAAACAAAACGATAAATTATCTCGACGAATGACACCATGTTCTAGTACGGAAGCTAGCTTTACATTTTTGTTGGTGGTTTCATGGGTTTCATATCAATTTTTTGTAATTGTAGTTTACACGTACATATACCTCTTAACACTTGTTTGCTTTATTAAAAAAGTGTGTTGTTGTGATTTACGTCGAAATAAGTCAAAAACAACTTGAAACCCCATATAAAATCAAAAAGGAGAAACGGAAAAAAATTGAGCCTGTAAATGAACACAACTCAGAAACAAAAATAGCTATCTAATAATAAAAAAATAAAATTTGATTCTTGTGCAGCTTCATCTATATCATTAACTGTTTTTGGTTTTTTAATGGTTTTTCTTGGTGATGAAAATTCCGATATCTCACGGTTATCGATTCTTTTTCTCTCTCCAGAAATGCGGACGACAGTGTTTTTAGATACTCCTGTGGCTGCAGCAACACGATCATTTACATTTTTAAATGGTATTGAAGGTGAATTAAAGTTTCCTTCTCTTCTCATAAACTCTATAACATTGGCTATTATTTCGCGAGATTGACTGTTAATCACGCGGCCTCTTAATTTGCTATTAAACTCCATACTTAGGTTCTATTAAACTGTAATGAGCAAAAAACAAACGAAAATAAAAGAAATGTTTTAGCGAAATTTACATCTGACATTTACGTCTGAATGAAATAGTGAAATACTTGATGCGCAGAGTGTACTTTCATTGCGTAAATCCGTCGGGATGCCTGTCAGTAGTGCTTTCTCTGTCTAGCCGTCGAAAGCCTCTAGAAATTTGATGAACTGTAATGGGTAAGTGGTAAAATTGCCTATCATTGTGAGGCAGTATCTAACTTTTAAAGATACTAATCTTTGATAAAATGCCAAATAAGTAAAATATTTTGGCAAAAGGCAGTAAGTGAGAAGGTATTTTTTTGTTAGTTTGCATTGCACCTAGCTATATTTCAACCAACCAGCAATTTGTCTTTATTATAAACTTAAGTAAACTTAAGAGGCTTAAAACTAAGAATTCACACAATGGTATTTTCTCCTTTCTGTTCTGATAACTATACACTGAACACTCACACTGTGCTCTGCTTTAGCACACTTTTACATCACTAATTCAAATAGTTCCGACCGGAAGAAGCAAACTGAATCAACGCGTCAAGTGCATTAATCGGCTAGATACAAACGTGCCGTTACTATGGCAACCATCATAAACGCGCCGATAAAAGACGCGTGTTCGGCGGTTTTATGCATAGCGCGTCAAGCGCTCCGTTCGCTCGGATTAGGAAAACTTTCTATGCGCTGGTTCAGTGATGATGTATTTATGGTTCTACTGACAATTAAAGTGACAATAAATTTTTTGAGTGCGTTTTGTTCGGTTTGTTTATCTAAATTATATCGTTTCTTCACTTTTATAAATATATTTCTAAAGTAAGTAGATAACATGCATTAAATATTCAATCGTTTAGTTACCAATTACATACCTTGAAACTATTTTTTATGACCTGTAAACAATAAACTAAAAACAGTAAAAACGTATACGTCAAATTTATTGATGTTTATGTTAAAAGTTTGGTTAGAATTAAATGTCAGTGGAACCAAAATGACATCACACTGAACTAGCGCATTGTATTATTTTTCTAAAACAAGTGAGTCCGAACGGTCGGGTTTTTTTTTATCAAGCTCCTCGTTTGTTTCATGTAGTGGTCCAGATACCACGAAATTAGGTACAGTTTGAGGTTTCTGTTTTGTAATTTGTATAGAGACAAAATGCAGACCATTTTGACACAGAAAAAGAAATATTTAGCTATTCAGTTGATTTTTTTTTATTAATTTCTACTGAAATTTTGGTGAAGCAGTGCGCATTCTAGCGAGTCGCCATTGGTGTCAAACAAATTCACGAAAGCGCGACGTTTACACAAACCCAGGCAACTAAAAAAAAAAACAATATTTACAAGGGAACAATAATTTAATAAAAATAATTGAAAACAATTAAAATTAACAAGACATGCGTCATTATCCATTTAAAGTTTCAAGGCCACATACATATTTTGTTAGGTTTTCGCATTTGGTGTAATCTGTTGTTTTATTTAATTCTTGATTGTACAAATGGCAATTAGGCAGTGATTATCCTTAGTTATTTAAACGGATACTCAGGATGTTTTTCCACCCCTTTGAAGAACAAGAAATTAAATATTCTACCCTTTTCTTCTTTATCAATTTCATTTAGACGCTCCAAATCGTCATTGGTTAATTCAAAATCAAAGAGTTCTATGTTTGCTTGAATCCTTTCGGGATTCTTACTTTTTGGTATGACCGAAACGTCTTGTTGGATAAGGTGTTTCAGGAGAATTTGTCCAGGAGTTTTTTTGTACTTTTCAGCCAGTTCGTTAACTACAGGTAGGCCCAAGATGTCTGGAAAATCTTCCAATCTAGAAAATACAAAGAAAAAAAAGCTGTTAAAATTTACTTATTTTAGCTTTTATTTAATTAATAAAAGAATCCATGCTACATTTGAGGAAAATGTATTATATTATATGGTATAAAATGGTAATTCTATAACGAATATGATAAAATTTAATCCACGATCATAACATATGTTAAATATGGAAAGCAATTCCATAACAGGGGCGGATGGGCCCACCGGGAGATTCCCAGTGCGCCGGTCGCAAGGCGCTGGTCCTAGCGTCGACAGGAACCGGTTTTTTTTTTGTTTTAATTTTTTTAAATATCTTTAATAATTTTTATGCAGTGGCGGTTTGTCCTAAGGGTCCAAAAGGCCTTGGCATTAGCGCAAAATTTGTAAATATTTCGGTCTTAAAAATATTTCTTTTTATATCAATTATAATAATTATTACAATTTGTCGGATCAAATTATGGCTAAGATTATTTATCATTATTTAATTTGATCCCGTTGAAAAAACTTGCGACGTATTATTCCTAGACACAACAAATTTAATAATTCATGCAATTGACTGTCCGCCGTATATCCGAGCACATCGACCAGTGGCACGGCTGCTTATATATCAATCCATTGTAAAAGTTTACTAAAATGAATAGTTATAATATGTAGTATTGTTTCAATCGCGTGTTCGGCGAGTTCGGCATATTGTTTTTGACATTTTATGCGTGCTGAATTTTTGTTTATTAGGTAATTGGTTAGAATAGTTAAGTTTTTAAAGTATAATAAATTAAAAATCGTCCGAGAGTCCGAAGCAAATGAATAAAATAAGCAAATACTCGCCGAAAACAAATCTTCTAATAAATGAGAACGACGGACAATCGTAGAAGATATGCTCAGTGATCTCATCTTTTTGTTCGTATCCCCTGCATGGTGAGGATTCCGACAGCCACACGAAATGAAGATACTTCCGTACTTGGCAATAACCAGTCAGAATGCATGTGATCAGACGCAGTTTATGTCTAGTCATAGTCAAGTATTCGTTTGTTGTAGTGTTGACAGGGTAACTTAAAAGCTCCCTGGTAACTCTGCAGTTTCTTGTCTCATCCCATCTTTCTTTCAATTTCACAAGGGAACATTCTTTAATTAGGTCTATCACTACCGAAGTTGTCAGTCCAATAGAAGGGTCAGGTCCAAAAAGTATTTGGTTGGCCGCCTTTTTGGCAAGTGAATCAGCAAGAAGGCTACCTTTCAATGTGGCGTCACCTTTGATCCATCTTAGAGGGAAAGCACACTTATGCGACACGTCGCGCGCGACTGATCGCGAGGCATCGCGCGCGACGATACTTTAGATGTTTTTAAATGACTCAAATTACATTAACGTGGTTCTGTCGCGTGGTCGCACGCGACTGAAAATTAGAAATGACAAACCCGCGATTTTCCTGCCGCACGCGGCCAGCGTTATCATGGATACATATGGAGCATCACTCGTCAAGTCGCGTGTGAAATTCCAGTTGAGAGTTGGAGATTTCTGTTAACTTTTCGACAGTTCCAGTGAAAAAATGTCCGACAGTTGTATTGATATAGATGGATTTATATCCGATATTCAAGACCGACCTCAAATATTGAGCAGTTAATTGAAATAAAATAGCAACAAAAATATTTGTTCGGGAATCTGCGCTAGCATTCTGCAATATTTGAAGAACTTATCTTCGTGTTGACGTAAATCCTTATATAATAAATTAAATGCGCCTTTTACATAAGGGTATATAAATAATGGATGAACCCAGTACCTACGTCGTTTCAGTTTTTTCCGCCGACAAACAGAATAAAACAACACCGTTGCTACTTGTTCCACCTCTATTTTGATATTGAACGTCTGTGTCGCTGCTTGTCGTCTGTTAAAAATCGAACCTAAAAAATCGCATGCGGCAGGTCGCGCGCGACGTGTCGCGTGAGTGGGCTTTCATTGTTACTTTAGTACGTGTTTAATTCTTATGAACCAAACGACAAAAATTGATTAATTTTCATACGTTTCCCAGCGTATTAAGTTCCCTTGCTTTGGTACATACGAAAACTAATTCAGTTTCGCTTCTTGGGTAGGTATTCTTTGGTAGTACAGAACCATTCAGAATTTATCTGCGCATGAGTAGTATGAAAAATAGGACAGTTAAATCGTACTACCATTTTTTAAAGAGTAGAGATAGTTGGTCAGAGACATAGACCGAAAGGTTTGACTATTTTGGAAACAGCAAATAGATGGCGACTGTTTTTGAGTTCCCAAGAGTATATAATGAACGCCATTTTCTATCCATGTATCATTTCATTTAAAATTAAATTCCAAAAGAGGATGGATGAGTTAGGATTTTTAGTCCACCTAAATGATTAACTTAGGAAAATCATTGTTGTCAGAGTAAAAATTATCGGAGAAATTTTATATCTAAATTAATTACCGAAATTACTGATTATTGTATTATTATATTACAGTCGAGACTACAGAGTTTAATAAAAAATCAGATTGTCTTTTTAAATAAAAATGAATTAAAACAAACCTTAAATTATTTAAATGGCAACATTGCATCGAAGCGAAGAAATATGTAGGGAAGGAAATTTTACCTGCAATTATTTTTAAGAATGCATGAAATAACAAATCTGTTTCTCTTTGTTATTAGATTAGGTAAATTTGAATCAGGCGCTTGGCTGGTTGTTTTTATTATTGTTACTCAGCTGCTATAATTAGCCCTTGAATAATTACCTAAAACCTCTATGTAGGACTTACATATTTCTATGTACCTAATTAAGATTAGATTTATTATTACCTGAATTGAATATAAATATAATATTTTATTATATAGGTAATATGAGCAGGGTAGTTTTACGAGTTTATAAATTAAACTTCGTGCGTTAATTATCATAACATTCTACCTACCTACAATTTTGGTAGGAATAGGTACTTTTTCAAAATAAGAGATTTAATTTATGCAAAAAAAAAATTAATTAAATTTTTAGGTAGATAGAGGGATATAGGTAGGATACCTATCTACCCCTATCCTCTATATACCTACGTAGGTATGATTAAAGTAATTATAAATTTTATGTATATAACTCCAGTACCCAATACTTACTAATTCAAATATAAGTATGGTTTCAGAAACATGAATGAATACCTATTCCTACCTACCTAAAGTAGGTATTTGTAAAACGAACATCCCGCCGACTGAAAATCAATCTCACGGTGGTATAAATGAGTTTTTTGCATCAAACAATAGTTTTTGGTTAAAAATTGTGCATTTTTGTGTAATATTTATAAACACTAGACATTTGTATTTTTGTGTTATAAATAATTATAAACACTAGACATTTATTGCCTATCGTTTTTTTTTTGTAAGTAGGTATCTAACCAGTTGCCGTTAAAAGAAAGTAGCCAGTTATACTTTTATTTTTGATAAAATACGTATGTAATGTAATCTGCAAAGTAATCTTTAATCTATGTGCATTTTCGTAAGTTTACAAATAATATTTTTAAAAAAATACCTACAATTTAATAGTTGCTAACATTTGGTTGAAGCAATAAGTTTTAAAAATAATAAAGAAAAGCTTTTCCCATATAATTAGGTATGCCAAATTTCAAAGACAACTACACAAATCTAAAGATTTGATAAAAATACAGGGTGTTTTACGACATTTAAACTCCGGTTGTAAGTGGTGAAGTGGTAAATTAAAAACTGCCACTAAAAATGCCATTTTCATTTGTGATATACTTAGTGAAATTTTGTTAAATATTTTAAATTATTGTTGGTATGTCTTAAAAAAACTTAAATAATTTATTTGATTTTAGTATGTAGTGTATTTAGCTATATGGACCAATGTAGTGCTTAGTATATATTGTGTACAAAAAATTACTGAGCCGAATTATGCAAATAGAGAAATCGTAAATAAACCAAGAGTCTGTGCTAAGAGTAATATTCATTTTTTCTATTGTACAGAACAATCGTAACCACTGATCTATGGTAGATGCGCCCGTGGTATTTGCGGCCACTACCTAAAATTGTGGCATGTGCGCCCTATCCTACTTTTGGAGCTTACCTGCTTTTGGCAGTTGCGTGCTGTTTTTATTTGCAGGTAGTTAGGTAGTAGGTAAACTTAAAATACTTGCGATACATTTTTAGTATTCTAAATTTTATTATTTTTACTATGATGAGTCACTGGAAGATGGGCTATAACTACCCCAAAAAAGTTTCCTTATTATGTATTTCTTTTATTTTCTTGTATCTCTGATTAAGAGTTATTAGCGGCCGTATCTCCGAATATCTTGAAGAATAATTAACAAAAAAACACAAAAACTAGGCGATTTTTATTGCAAGGGGGACAACTTTTCATCACATCCTTAATTTTCATGTTATTCTTCTTCCCTCCGTCTCTCTAACTAATATAATTTAGATAGGGAAAGTACCAATTATGGCACATCATCGAACCTATACACCAACATCTGTTTAATGAGATTAAGGGTAAAACCCTCGTAAAATCTTTTAAACAAAAGAAAATTAATAGCTTGAAAACTTAACTTAGAGACATGAAGAAAAAGTTAATGAAAGCTAATTTGGCAGCAAGATTACAAACATTTTAATATACCATGTCACAGTTCTCAAGATCTTTCGTTAATATACAAATACGCCACAAAATGACAAGCGTTTGGTTACCTTCAGAGAAAAAAACTGCATTGTCCTTATTTTATAAAGGACCTAGTACCTATAAATTTCTTCGCAGAAAAGGCATAATTCTCCCTGGTGTATCGACCATTAAAAGCTGGATTAGCAACTTTATTTGTAATCCAGGATTTAACAAAACTTTTAAAAATCTTAAACTAAAAACAGAATCTATGTCTTCATCACAGAAAAAATGCGTACTCATGTTTGATGAGATGCCCATAAAAAAAAAAATTGAATAAAATTCTAAATTAGATATCATTGAAGGATTTAAAGATATGTGACGAACTCAAAGAAAGGCAGTAGCTGCAACTCAAAGTGTTGT